GGGCTGAAAAATGAACAGGAGTCAAGAGAAAAGTGTATCTAATCTCAGTTGCAACATTAATTTCTTTAATTTTGTGAAGGTGTTTGTCTCCATCCACATGACAGGCTGGAGAAAACTCATTCTTCACTTGGTGTTACACTGGTGTAATGAGGAAACCTGGGCTTCAGCATGTGGCTACATGCGCTTATTGCTTTAACTTTGTCTGATACCCTGGGATGATTTGAGTACTGAAGGTCAGAATTGGAAAAATTACTTCCTCAAACAGTCTGGTATTTCCAGCTAGTATTGTTTTTAGTTAAAAAATCCTACAGTGACCATTTAAAAAATAAATTATAAAGACTCTAATTTACAACAATATTTTCTTTTATATTTGACTTGTACTTTTATCTTGACTTAATTCCATAGTACTCAGCTTTCCTATTTCTGCTGTTATGGTTGCTGATGGCACTTGCTAATAGTGTCTGTCTTTGGTTTTTCCAGGCCTGTGGACTCACAGAAAGAGACATTGCTACAATTAAATTACTGAATGAAACTAGAGATATGCTAGAAAGGTATAGAGAAATATGATGTATTCACATTAAACTCCTCCTCAAAACTATTGTTTATGTAAGACAATTACTTCCATACAAAAAGCTGCCAACTTTTCATTTGAGAAATGTGACCATTCTTCATTAAATTTTTCTATTTATCAGTTGTAGGCTGGGATTTTCAAAATTTGTGAGCTCTGAAACTTTTAAAGAAATAATGCTGTCTTAATGAGATACCCAGGATGTCCTTGGCAATCAGACCTATTATCTCTTCCTCACCCACTCTGTAGTAATGTAGGAACAGAGGAGTACTTCTCTTCTGCTAAAGCAGGGTAAATTGAGAGTAATTTTCTTGAATTTACTTGCTTTGATAAAGTGAACACCAGTTTTGGCTTACTGGAATTTATTTTTAATGCATGGTTTTGAGGGTGGTTGTATGTATATACTAGAGAGCTGGTAAAAGTGAGGCTCCTATAATAAAAATAGGATATGAGGGAATTGAGACAAATGCCAAACTATTCTTAACAGTTTAGCTGCTAGGGATGTGGGGCACTTCAAGGTTAAGTCACTTCTATGTTATTGCTTAGTAAGAAATAGAAGTGAGGAATGCTTCAGGTTTATCTGGGTTTTAGTAACCTTAGCATAGAGTTCAGGTTCTTCAGGGTGCTGGTGTTTCATGAGGTGACAATGCTAGTGGCATTTGTCTGGCTCACACATCACCCATGAGGGGAGGCACACCTGTAGCACTGAACACTTGCAGGGCTTTTTAGTTTGAAAAAAAACTAAACCGAGGAATTCTTTCTTTTCAGTCCAGACTTCAGTACAGTTTTGAGCACATGTTTAAATAGAGGATTCAGTCGACTGCTGGACAATATGGCAGAATTTTTTAGACCTACTGAAAAGGACCTTTCTCAAAACAGCTCTGTAAATAGGTAAATGTTTTCATTTGTTGTGGTTCTTTTGTCAGTAATGCTTTGGGTTCATAGTGAATTCCAAAAAGGCTCTTGATTTTCCTGCCTTCTTGGAGTTCTTTTGCTGGAAATATTGTTCTGCTTCTTCAAGGATCACTGGGTTCTCCTTGCTGTGGCCAAGTAGGCAGCTAGGAGGATTCATGTTTCCTCCCATCCATGAAATCACTAGAATTGGGTGATGTTCTTTCCCACCTTTACTTGCATTCCTAGAAGTAGAGATCAGATGACCTGTACCCACTTCTTGCCTGAGCACAGTACAGGCGGGCTGCCTTTTGGGCTGGGGAGGGCTCACCTTCTGGTGGTGACTCCTGACCGATGTGCCCAGTGAGGCTGTGAGAAGGAGAGCCCTCCCTCCCCTGCAGCCCATGAGCTCCAAGCACCCCAGCCTCCATCAGTTCCTGTGGTTCTCAGGGAAGGGGGATGGGCATTTCCCTGATCCTCTGGTGACAGGGAGCCAAAGCTGCCATGGAGCTTTAGGTTTCACTGGTATGCAGATAAAATGCAGTAACATGTAGGATTTTCTACATCCTCCTACAAGAGTGTTTAAAAATAGCTTTTAAACTGAAGTTAACTTGTGTTTTAAGCAGTGTGGTGAGAGCATTACAAATCCAAAAGCTGAGTTCAAATAATTGAAATAATCTTTCTCAAATATTAAAATTAAAACCTGGAATGATAACTGGGTTTATGTGTGTTTATTATTGTAACTTGGCTTTCAGAGAGTTATGTTTTAATTTAAATATATACTATTTACATCACTTAAAATACCCCAGTCTGTAGTTTGGCTATCTGCCTAAGTCTGGTTTAGTTTGAAATAGTATGAAATTGTAGACAGGCACGTCTATGACCTGTCTACTTACATACACATGCAATGACTCTGACTAAACCATAATACTCTTGCATGAGAAGCAAGTGTGAAACTGCAATAGGAACATGGACTGGAATTGAATTGGTACTTCTCTATATTAAAGGAAAACCTTGATATGGAGAAAAAAACCTTCATCCATACATTTTAGTTTACAGTCTTTCAATTCTTACTTTTTAAGTAATTCTAATTACTTAGAATTACATAGTCACAGTTTAGTAGCTTCATCTGTGTCTGAGCAGGTCAGTATTTTTTATTCTTTCCTAGTCTTTCCAGTGTCAGTCTTCCTTTAGCCAAGATAATTCCAATAATAAATGGACAGATCCATTCAGTATGCAGTGAAACACCCAGTCACTTTGTTCAGGTAAGAATCTGCCTTATTTACAGTATCCCAAGTAAAATCTTGAAATTAATGTTGTAAATTTCTTTTTAAGAATTTGTTTCATTTCAGTGGCTTTAAAAAATAAATTGAAAACAGTTGCCGTAACAAACTTTTTGTCAACTGGTATCTTCCAAAAATACACAGTTTTTCTAAAACTTTCTTCTGCTGAACCATGCAGAAGCACAAACTTTTGGCCTTGGTTCTACCTGCAGGTCTGCTCCTAAACCTTTCTAAAGCAAGAAGTTTGAGCTGTGCCTGTGGGAGTGCCAGGTGCCTTTCTTAGGAATTCTCTACTGCAGTACAGGCAGAATAGTGGGGAATGTGTTTGATTAAGGACGTTTATTTTATACATTTCTTCCAGGACCTGTTGATGATGGAACAAGTGAAAGATTTTGCTGCTAATGTTTATGAAGCTTTTAGTACCCCTCAGCAACTAGAGAAATGACCTGCACATTTTTACAAATGGATGATGTATTTATAACAAATCTCTGGTGACTACTGATGAGACTTGGGTTAATTTTATAATGGTGTAGGAGTGGCAGACCAGCAGAAAGAGCACTCTGAGGAAGGTGGGAGTGAGCCCATATTTTCTTCTAACCAAATCATACTTCACCCATTAAAAATGTTCTTGTTGAAAGAAACATTGTAAGTGAAGACTTTTCTATTTAAAAAGTGGTTAAACTCTTCTGTAATTCCTTGGATTATTTTTTATTGCATCTGAAAGGCATCTGGTGGCAGTATTACAGCAAGTTACTAAAAAAGCCATTTTTTTGCCTGGGCTGTGTAAGTTTGGGGAAGAACTAATGATAGTGATCTAAGAATAGCGCAGAGCAGCAAAATGAAGTAATGCTTTTTTCTTCTTCTTCCCCCAGATTTTTCTTTCCATGAAGTAAATATTTTTGCCCTTAACTTTACAAATCTTGCTCCAAAGTCTCACATTCTTCAGAAAGCCTTTAGCAATGGATGCATGTTCCCCTTGAATAAGCTGGGGGTCTGCTCTCTCTGTTACTTAGTACTAAAGGAATGTGGTTTTTTAGACATACTCTTGTTTATGCTGTTCAAACAGCTACACTGTACACATTACCTTGTAAATATTTTATCTTAATTTGTATTAATTTTGAGCCCAATTGTCTGTATTGTAATAAAATATTTTAATGTATAATTTGTGTGTGTATTAACATTACTAGGGAAGAGAATAACCTGACCTATCCAATCAACTCAAAATCCTGACAGAGTTGAAAGAATAAATTTAACTTATACAGTACTAATGTTGCACTCACAAACATTACTCAGGGAAAATAAACCTTCAATCTCTACACTGAAACAGAAATAATTCATGCTTTTTGTTGTCCTTTTTCTCCTCCTCTTTGCAAGTTTCACCTTGTGTGTCTGTCCCTACAAATCATGACACATGATGAGTTTGGAAATTTTTCAAGTTGGATGCAGTCTACTCTCTGCTTAAAATGTTGTTTCTTTGCCAAAGCTGAAGATCCCTAGCAACTCCTGATTATTTCTCTTTTTCAAGAGTTAGTCACTGAAGTATATATTTTGCTTAATAGGCTACAGAAGGCACCCTGGTAACTGTGTATAAACAAAGGCTGTAAACAAGAGGCAAGTTTTATGCCATGTAAAATTATACAAAATATAAAACCCAACCCTCTCCCAGTTTACCTGTGTCCCAGTAATGGATGGAGTTGCTCAAGAATAGGAACATGTAAAATTAATTACTTCCATGATAAGAAATTATGATGTACATATGCATTGCCTGTATGCATTTATGATGAATTCCTAACCCTTACAGGCTTCTTGCAGACATTACCCTATTCAGCTGAAACTGCCAGCTGCCACTAGCTAAACACACCTGGAAAAAGTAAATTCTTTTCTCTAAAACTGTCAGGTTTTGCTGTGCAGTTTTGTGGAAGGTAAATTTCTTGCATTAAAGAGGGTGTACAACTGACTTAGGTGCATTTGATTACCGGCTTGAGCTTTATTCTTTCTTTTGTCTCTGAAAATCTATGCCTGTTTCCCCCCACCTCATTCTTCACATAACTTGGCCAGAAACTGACTAAACCAAGTGTAGAGGTCGAGGGTAGCTGCTCAGTGTTTCACACAAGTTCAGAGAAACAAACTCTGTGCAGAGGATCAAGTGCTAGACTAGTGAGGTTATCTAGTGCTAGACTTTGTGAGGTTTGTTCCAGTCCATCCTTTAATAACAGCCCACCTCTCATAGAAAAAATGAATTTATTGGTCTTTCTCAGTCAAACAAGTTTAAAACCAGTGATAGGAAAGAGCAAAGCATTACCACTCCCTGCTAGCCAGGACTTCAGTAGAGTATGGCTCAGTCTACATGAGTCAGTTGTAAGGTCCAGCCCCACTGACATGGCATTTGCTGAGGAGTCAATTGAGGTAGAGCAATAACCATTCCCTTTTCTCCCAGGGCAACCCATTTCAGCAGCTCCCTGTATCCAGCCAGCTTCACCTAAAATAGAAACACACACTATAGTTAGAACAGCGCCTTTTTAAAGTACATATAAGTGCAATATTGACAAAATAATTATTGATCCATAGCTACCTTATTCACCAAGTATCCTAAAAATGCCACTTACCAACAAATGAGTGATAATTATTAAAGATAATGGGAAAACATTTGCAAGTAGTTATGCAAGAAAAAGCTACTCATGTTGAGTAGGAGAAGGACTTAGGGCTGTAGAAAGTGAATAAACACCTCTTGGAAGCATTTGGAGTAGGATTTAGGTCTAAGCAGAGATGTAGCAGCCACAGTATAGAGCTTTGCATTTCCTGTTCCCAAACAGCCTGCTTCCCGTGGTGAAACTTATAGTCTTGAATGAGCATGACTTTGTTACAGAGGGCAGCCAGGTATCTCAGAGAAAGCTGATCTGAAGAACTAAAAACCACAAATAGGTTGATCTTGTCACTACAGCCGCTGGTGACCTGCTGGAGTGGCTGCAGACCAGTCTCTGCTGCTGGGGAACAGTACTTTCTAGTACACACAGACCTGCCCCCCTAAAATTCCAGAGGCATCTTCATCACTTCTGAAATGACTCCTTCTCCACTATCACAGAGCTGTCTGGGCACCAGTCAGACTACTTTCATATGGAACTAGACCAGAGGGGGCAGTCCAGGAAACACTCCTAATGCATTTCAGCAGCTAATGGATGTGCAGTGCGTGAGACCAGAGCAGAGTTAAGCCAAAGTGAATCTCTCCTTAAATGCACAGAGTTGATACCAACTTCTGCTTCCATTGGGTTACTTGCTACTTGCCAGTGTAGGTGTGGTATCACTGTCCTCATCTTCTGACCTCCACTTGGTATAAGATGCACATCTAGGGTAACACTGATTGCTCTCCAGCCTCCCTGGGCAACAAAAACCTCTGTGTACATTCCCCTCCTGCAAGGCTTTGACAAACAACTGCACCACTACAGCAACTCCGGTATCACCAAAGTCATGAGGACAGCCACTTCTAAAGAAAAGTCATGCTGAGTTAGGAGTCTACACAGGAAACAGGAGGGGTGGCACAGTTTTTTCCCCTGCTCCTTGGCCTCTTTGTGATTCTTATTTTGCAAGATAAAACATATCCCAGCAACATCTCGGTCTAACTTTGTTGGATAAGAAACATCCCACTGAGAGGACTATGACCAGGAGGTCCCAGAAAGAAAACAAACATTTTGCTGAGTCTCTTCCAAAGTACTCTGTCCTAAGAGCTATGCATTCCCAAAGATGCCAGAAACTTAAATAAACAAGTTGGAATATGACACATCCTAGAAGGAAGGGAGGGGTGTGTGTGTGCACTCTCTTTTACCTGTGTTTCTCCAAGCTTAGCCCGTGGCTCACCAAGTTCCAGAATCCCAGAGACTGGCCAGTTAAGGAAGATAGCATTGACTTTCCCTTCTTTAGGGGTGAAAGTGTACCTGGTTGGAAATGGGGACCAAAAAGGCATGTCAGCTTTTCCTTGTAAATCTTTAGAAGTGATACATAAGAGTGCTTTCAAGACTGGAAAAATGGATTAGAAAAGTCAGGATTAATTACATTTTCACACACATAACCACCTGGTCAGATGAATTATGCTCTTTAATAACGTGCTGTTCCTTGAAAATTTGTTTCAACAAACTAGAGGTAATGAAAACTATTAAAGAACTGAATTCAGAGGTAAATATCTGTTGTAGCTTTGGCACACTGTACCAACTCAGCCATATAGGAAGGAGATACTTGCAGGATGGGGAATCATTAACAGATAACATGTTTCTGTTACATTCAGAAAAACATGGTAACTCCCATCTATACACTAACATGCAGACTAGACGCATTTAATAATAGTATGAGCAACAGAGTTTCCACTTTGCATAGCTAGTTTTTAAAAATACTATTTTCATCACTATGCCACTGGAAATCTTGTGGCATACCTCTGAAACATCCCTCCCTCCTTCCTATTTAGTTACAGTTTTTTATTGCTCTTGGAAGGGATTTTACTAAACAGTCAACAGTTCAGCATCTCCAGGCTAAAGCCAGATGGCCAAACACCCACTGAGAAAAGAGGGCCAAGACCAAGCCCCTGATGGATCATGAAGGTGTTAAGAGAAGCTACAAGTAAAAAGGGCAGAGGGAAGGCCAGAGACTGACTGTATTTAGCAACCAAATAATTGCTGTTATCTTCCCACTTTCTATCTAAACATCAAGTGACATTGAGTATTCCTTTGTTCAGATAAACACTTCATAGCAACCTTGTATTTCCAGATTTTTTTTCATTTCTGTTGCCCGCTAGAAGCCAACAGCATTACCTAACAGATTAGCCTACACCAAGAAGCAAAAGATGACCAAAGAAATGCTTGCAGCTTTCTTTTCAGCCTCAGCATCATCCCAAAACTAGTCTCCACCTACAGCTTTATACCCATTTTAGATGCAGTTACTTACACTAACAAAAGCATTCATTCCTTCACCACATACAAAGACAGTAATTTCTGTAGCATCAAATCATTAGGGATTTCAAAGCTTCACATAACATTAGCACTCCTTTCCAGAGCCTGCATTTTGGTTCAGGAGACTTACCAGACTCCAGGTGTGACAGTGTCATTCTGTGCTCTCCATGGTTTTGTTCCATAGATGGCCTCTCCATTGACCTTCAGCCAAGAGCCCACCTGCCTCAGGCGCTCCTCAAACACAACAGCGATGCGACCGTCGTGGGTGGGCCCGATGTTCATCAGGAGATTTCCTCCACAAGACACTGTTTCTGCAAGTTGCTGAAGTGTTTTTAAAAACACAGAGCATATGGTTATGAGAACTGACATCACATACTTGAAGCACTTTCTGAAGTCTGCTGTACTGCTTCAGAATGATGAACCACATGAGTTATGCTACTGCTGCATGCTGAGACTGTGGGATTCATCCCAAAAGTTAATACAAAATTTCAGGTCCCATAAAACAAAGCTCTACTGTCAATTTATTTTTACATCCAAAACCAGCCCCAAATATCTTCTTGCACCAACATGTCTGCCTCAATCCACGTTAGAATCAGATTCTGCTACTCTTTATCATTTCAACTTCTGCAAGAATATATTGAGGGTTTTACCAATAGGACAGATGACTTCTCTGCACCAGAGCAAAATAAGGCAAATAGTTGCTACTTCATCTTTATTGAATCTTAGAAAAGCAGCTTCCTCCTTCCTCCTGTTTGATGCCTTTCCTACTTTATAGAACCACCTGTAAAACACAAGGAAGCCTCCTACAAAGCCTACAAAATTTGTGTTCACATCCACACTGCCCTCCAGAGATCACAGACTGAGATGCCTAAGTCTGAAAAATAGACATCTGCAGACATGCTGCTGAATTAATTCAAACCTTTTGCCTCTGAAAAGAGGTAACTTCAAATTCAAATTGTCTTTTGTGAGGACAGCACTAGAAACAGCAACAATATTAAGCAACAGTAACAATCTTTCCCTTACTGGCTGAATTCTGCAACTGAATGCATTATTCTGGAAGACTGATCAGTCTTCCTTCCATTCCGGTCTCCTAAGCTTCAGATCTTTTTTAATACCTCAGCCTAGTAAGAGAATCAATGTTCTAATAATATCAGCTGTCTGCTTCTGGTAGTGTTTACCTGTATGTCTGTAAGGAAAGTGTCTCACTACAAAGTAAAACTACTGCTGAGTCATAAACTGTTTCTATCTGTACAGGGGGAAAGATGTAGCCTTCCAGCAGGAGTTCCTAAACAGAAGCTGTGAAACTGCAACTGTTTGCTTCTCATCAGCTTGCATATGCAGTTACCAGAGAAACTTAGTTGAAAAGGTAATGATGAGACTGTGAAGATCAGTCCTTGGCCAGTTACTCACAGGGAAAACAGCTTCTGAGACATTGACTGAATTTTTACTAGAAATTAATTCTACAGAAATGACTAAGAGAAAGAGAAAGAATTACATGGATTTTCCATCCTGCCAGCATTAAGGCTGGAAATTAACAAAATTATTTATTGTTTCACAGATTCACTATTGAATTAAAATCATCTTATTCACAAAAATAGATACATAATCGAGCAGTTAAACAGCACAACATAACAATCAGGAGAGAGAACGTGGAGCAGCAGCAGCTGCTGTGGCCCGCGGTACCTTCACCAAGTCCTCGATGGGGAGGTAGTCCCGGAGGCGCGCGTCCCTGCGGTAGCCCCAGGAGCTGCGGTCCACGGTCATGCAGTTCTCCCACTTGTGGGGCAGGAGGTGCCCAGGGTTGTAGCGGTCACTGCACGTGTAGAAGCCGCCGTGGGCGCAGATGCTGCCAGCTCCCCAGCGGTCATTGGTCACTACCGTGTCCCGGACCGGGCTGGGAACAGAGGAGTTTTAGTATTCTTATTCTATGAAACGCGGTCACAGCCAGCGTAATCCCTTCCCACACACATCCCTCCCAGGAACTAACATTTTGGATGACTTCTGTACTGTTAATTTACTACAATAAGATTAAGTGCAGTGTCAGGAATTCTATTCTCATGGTTTGCTAATAAAAGGTCCAGATCAGAATTTCTTAGGGAAATAAGCTCCAGACTTTTACAGGAGCTCTGCCAGAAATCACTCTGCACTTCATAACTACTGCCAGATGTTCAGTCTGTGATGACAACAATGTATCCATATTCTCAAATTGTCCTGCTATTCTTTGTTTTTGTGCAACAGCAAATACTTAGGGAAGACTATGATTAAGCAGAATAGCCAACACCATCTTAAATGATTAATTTGCAAATGTATTTAAAAAATACAAACCAGTCTTTTTCTAAAACCAGCTTTGATAGTTGTAGGAAAAATCTGGATTCTATATTTCAGGAGAATTAATATTTTGTAAAGTCCTCTTAAGCAGAAGTAGCAGGTTCCAAAAAACAAACAGAAAATGAAACAAACTAGATGCAGCAGAATTTCAGATAAGGAGCTGAACCAGCATTATTATGTACCTGTCATTATACAGCCAAGCCAAGAAACCAGTGCTGTTCCAGTAAGTATCTGGAGCATTTCCATCCCCATCAGACCAAATTATTTCTGGCTGGTACTTGGTCACAATTTCATAGAGTTCTGGTAATGATTTGCTGGTTGGAAACTTGCTTGTGTTAAAGGCATTGGTGGCATCCTCAAGGAAGAGAGGATTGAACCATTCAAACAGGGAATGGTATAACCCAAAATGCAAATCAGTCCTGTTTCTAACAGATGCTGCTAGTTCAGCAACAAGATCTCGCTTTGGTCCCACATCAACAGCATTCCAGTTCCAAGAATATTTGGACCCCCACAAAGTAAAGCCTAAAAAGAGAAAAATCAGAAGATAAGAAAGAAAAGGAGAGGACATTACAGTTCTTTCTGGAAAAGTGGTTGGAAGTGTTGCAAAAAATAAAATAATAAAAATTAAGTATGTAATAATATTGCTGTCATGGTATAAAGTGTGCCTATAACCTGTTTATGCACAATGGTAGTAGTTTTAATATCAGAATACCATGTATTTTTTATACATATACATTTATATTTGCCAGTTGTGTACTGCTTAGGAGAATTATTCCTTCTCTTTAATTATTCAGTCTATTCATATGTGCCAATTAAATTAACTAGATGGCTTTTAAGGCCCCTTCCAACACACGGCAGTCTCTAACTCTACGACTGCGAAATTAACCAAAAATACACCAGCTTTTGAGACATCTACATCAAATGTGAACTGTAAATACACAATCAGCAAGTGAAAGATAGAACTGTTTCTCAGCTGCAGAAAGCCCAAGCTATCATTTGCATTCAAAGACTGTTCTCCTCTTTTCTGTTTCCATCTTATGCAAACGCTCACTTTTTGTTTGCCTTGATATTTACAACAGCTCAATCAACAACTGTGTATAAGGAGAAGGCAAAAACTCCTGAAACAGCTGTTAAAACGTCAAGATTAAATATCAGAAGGGATTTGGCCTTTCAGACATCCATCAGTCCAGCACAACCACTTACAAATACGACTGCACTGCAGACTCAGACCACTGCCAGAGGAGCCCCACTCTCACCTTGTAACCCCTTTATACTCACTGTCTAATCAATCTTGTGCTATTTCCGTGAACTGGATACATGCATCTGTACTGACTAAACAACCTAAAAATTCGTGCACAAGGCTACTGGACAGACTAAATGAATCTTGGTTCTTTTGAAGTCACTTGGAATTTCACCCCAAGTGAAATTCAAGATCAAGAATTATGTGTGTCAGAGCTGAGATTAAAATTGACACATCACAAGTTGCCAGCCTTAAACCTACATCCCACAAAGACCAACAACATTCATTAGATGTATTGTACAATATCTTAATGCTTTATACTTTCTATGCTACTGTATTTCCTTCCAGAAGCTTTCTTTTTCTTTACTTTTCTCTACAAAGTACCTTACAATTGCAGTGCTAAAAAAAAATTGTGCCTGTAAAACTACAGATCTGGTTCAAGGTTTTGGCTTCTGTACACTACATCAGGAAGAGATATACCATCCTAAATCTGAAGTTGACTCCTGGAACATGTTCCTAAATTCCTTGGAAAAACCAAAGAAGTTTGTTAACTGTCTGCTCCCTGCACCTCTCCAAATGTTAAACAGTGCAGATTTCACTTTTATGGTTCCTTCAGCAGTATATTGCATAGAAATAGAAAATAAACTATGGCCACTGCAGGAAGCTCAGCTGCCAGCACCACTTTGGGCTGTCTTACCTACAGCAAGAGAACAGTGGCACAATCTATTGCTCCTCCTATGCAATAGACACTCCATGGCTACAGCTTTTGTGTAAGAGTCAGGAAAACACCTGCAGATTTCTTGGGAAGTTTTTGTTTCCTCTTTGGCTGTGGTGGGGCAGCTAAGCCTGCCTGGCTTTCTCTATGTCTCTTAGAAGGTAGAAAAGCCACATGCTTTTTACATCTCTTGACAGAAATGCAGCAATTACTAACATTCACAGTTTCCACTTACCCTCATGATGTTTTGAAGTTAAGACAACATATTTTGCACCTGAAGCCTTCAGAATATCTGCCCACTGGTTGGGATCAAAGAATTCTGCTGTAAACAGAGGACCAAAATCTTCATAGCTGAAGCCAGGTGGGTAATTTGTGTCCATAAATTTCACATAGGGTTCTCTCTTTTCCTTCTGCCAGTACCACCTACAAAATACAGAACAAAGCATGTCTGCTGATGCATTTTTAGATAAAGAAAAGAGAATTGAAATGATCAGCTCCTATTTAACACTGAGAGGTAGAGGCATTGGAGGTACATGACAATAAGACAAAATTGCTCCAGAAGAGTATTGATTAGCAAAGATTTCCTTTTTTCTATCTTATTTGTCCATGTTATACATCTTTGCACTCCACTTTGGAAAGGTCTCAGAATTTCACCTGAAGCAATGAAAAAAGCAGCTACACTTTGAGAATGGAAAAATTACAGTCTTGGTCAATACCCAAATCCCAAAACTGTACTAGAGACCACAGACAGTCTGTGTAAGCAGCTCAGGAGGCACAAGAAATGCATTTTTCCTGGACTTGCATGTCTCACCTCCTCAAGTCTCACACCTCAGCCATCAGGCATCTCTGCTCTGCCCCCAACATTGCAATCCCTGCCACTCACAAATATGGGGATCGTCAGCTTTACCTCTCTGACAGTCCCAAGCCCTCTACACAACTGCAGCTGAGTGACCCAATGTGCACAACCCCAGGGCCAGAGAGAGCTGTGACCAGGTCACTGCAGACTCTGCACACCTGAGGCTTGCAAGCAAAGGCACCCTGCTAGCAGAAAGCACATCCTCCAACCAAAACCTGCCCCTGCAAGAACACCACACACTTACAAATGCACCTCTGTCACCTTCCTATGAATGAAACCAAGCAGCAAAAATCCTCTTGTCAAATTTAGACTTATATGAAAATAGATTGTAAGTGAAGGAATAAAACAGGCCAGAATTTTAATGTTTGAAATTAATTTCTCTCTCCTGTCCTAAGCTGGACTCTGACCTCAGTTCTCTAAGACCATAGTGTGAATATTGTTGTAAGCTTCCCAAAAACACTTCAGCATAAACCAACACAATCTGTGGCAGCCAAAAGGAAAAAAAACTTGGAAGAAAGAGGCTGAGACAGCTTTCCTCATTGAAAGAGCTGGGGCAGAGGAAATAACAACAATAAAGCAAAACAAACAAATTTTAAAAAATAAAAACAAACAAAAAACCTCTCTGACTTCAAAGTATGTAATTTCTTAAATTAAAAAGTAACAACCTTGCTTCTCTCCCATAGCCACATGGTTTGCTAACATGAACACTTCCATGCTGACAGGATTAGGTTCTAGAAACATCCTTACCAAAGCTGTGGAGCTCTAAGGGAAGGCACACATGACGGGTGATAACAGTGTGTGACCTTCCATTTGATGCTGCTAATACAGGACCTCAGTCATCTGACTGCACAAGCTGTCAAAGGCCCTGAAGCAGCTCTAGACCCACACCTGCCATGGGATAGGAGAATACAGGAATATAAAAAGCAATTAGAGTTGTGGGGTCAAAAATGAAATGCTCCATCCTGAGCCTGTACACCACTATCAGAGCACAGCACTCTGAGTGAGGCTTGAATCCAAACCTAGCTCTGTCCCACCTCTTTAAAAGTAGTTTATTAGTAAATGTACTCCGCATTAAAACCTGCTGAAATGCTTGACCTTAATTCTGAAAAGAAAGGTGTCAGAAAACATTGGTTTGATTAGATACATGTTGGTTTGTTTTGTAAATACTGTAATTAAGGTTCACCGTTGCTCTGCCACAAAGCTACCCTTATCTTCATATTGTAAATAATAATAATGTGTCTCACTTGAAGTCTTACAGGAAGTACTTGGTAGAGCATGGAAAGGTGACAGCAAAAACAAAGGGCCTGAACCAGTGAACACTCACAGAACAAAGATTTCATTGAACTAAAATTATCTGAAGGATCAGAGCTTTAGATTTTCTTAAGTGCAAAGCATTCTCGAATAATAGTAATAACGGTAGAAAAAAAAAAAAAAAAAAAAAAAAAAAAAAAAAAAACCAACAAAGCGCCCGCCCGCGCCCGACATGGCGGCGGCGGCGGCGGCGGGGCCGGACGGGGCTCTGTGGGACGGGGCTCACGGCGCTGCTCGGCCGGACGGGCCGGGCTGGGCTGGGCTGGGCCGGGCCGGGGAAGGGAAGGGAAAAGAAGCGGGACACGGGCAGGCAGCACAAAATGTGCACAAGAAAACAGCAAGGCAACTTGCCAAGTAAGGGTAGCGATGGGCTCCTGGCTCCCCACAGCGCTCCAGCAGGTGCACAAGGCTGTTCCAGAGGCTGGGAGATCCCAAACAGAAATACCCTGGGAGACCGCCTTCACCATCCCTCCATGGTGGTCCTGGGGAGGTCTCTTTCGGCCCCTCCACCAACCACCTCTCTGTGCGGCAAGGCACTTCTCTCAGCTCTACCAGCTCTCTGCTTAATTTAGTCACTTCAGTCTAGGTATTCAGCAGTTTTTGGGGCTGGGCAGGTGCTCAGACACACCAGAAGCACTTCAAACTCCACCTCCTCTGAAAACTGCGCCATGGAGTCCGTGAGCTCGGTTGGACACAGAGCTCTTCCCACACGCCTGAGCTCCAGGGTCAGCCTGCAGAGGGGCTCCAACCCAAACCGGGGCTGTACAGGGGCACACCACACCATCCCCGCCTGCCCCGAGCGCTGCTTCCCCAGCGGAGCCCGGGGGCCGCCGGCACGGCCCGTCCGCCGCAGCGCTTCGGGTGCGAGCACAGCGCTCTGGCTGCAGCTCACCAGAACCACTCGCTGCCGAAGCTGGGCACCGAGAACACGCCCCAGTGGATGAAGACGCCGAACTTCGCCTCGTCAAACCAGGCGGGCAGCGGCCGGGCGTCCAGCGAGCCCCAGGTGGGCTCGTAGCGGGGCCGGGCCTGCGGCAGCCCGGGCAGCCCCAGCAGCAGCAGCAGCGCCAGCGCGGCGCGCCCGCCCGCGCCCGACATGGCGGCGGCGGCGGCGGCGGGGCCGGACGGGGCTCTGTGGGACGGGGCTCACGGCGCTGCTCGGCCGGACGGGCCGGGCTGGGCTGGGCTGGGCCGGGCCGGGGAAGGGAAGGGAAAAGAAGCGGGACACGGGCAGGGCGGGCCCCGCGGCGCCCAGCCGGCACCGCTGCCCCTTCGCTCCTCCCCCACGCCGCCCGCCTCCCGGGGGCTCTTCCCCATGGGAGCCGCTCCATCTGGCTGCTCGACCACAAACTGCCCTCTGGATTTTAAGGATTTTAAGAAAATGAAGTAGTTGGCTGATGCCTCGGCCGACATCCCGCCGTGCTTTCCCCCGCCCCGCCGGCTCCTCCCCCGCCCGCCCGGTCAGCCTCGCCCGAGAGCGGCCGGACGGCTCTGCTGGATCTGCTGCCGGACCCGGGCCCGAGCCTTGGATCTGCAGCCAGAGGTGGCCTCGGCAGCCTGCTGGGTTTGTCCTCCCCGCCTACTCCGTCCACAGGCTCAGATTCCCTCGCCCTCCCAAGAAAAACAGGGTGTAGCATCGCTCTGCAGCTCCTTCCAGCCGACTTGGATGTGGAGGCTTCCCGGGCAGAGAGGCGGCCCAAAGCCTGTCAAGGAAACATTTCTCTCCCATCATTAGCATGGCCCGTGCAGAAGCTGCCTGAGTTCAGTAGATGACACTTGGCGTTTGTGCTACGGATCAGGGGTGGCAGGCACATCCTTTAAAAGATACATCTTCCAGCAATTTGCTGCCCACGCTGGTGCTTCTCCAGTCTTTCCTGATGCCTGAATTTTCTGGTTTTACTTCAGCCCCCAGCTGCCATGGGACAGACTTTGTGAAATAATTTGGTTTAATCAGCAAATACTAACTTTTTATAATCAGCACCACAAAGAGAAATTCCTTTGGCAATCTCATTAGAACAGTCGAAAATAAATGAGCAGGCAGCTGAATGAATCTCTCTCCAGCTGGAAAGGACGCATACTTTACTGTTCTATGGAAATAGAGCTCCAGTTTCTAGAGCCATTAACCACAGCTGTTACCTACCTCTAATTCAAAAAATATTTAAATGGCTGTGAAAACAAGATGTACATGATTTTGTAATATTTTCATTTCTATACCTTGATTAATATAAGTTGCAGGCAGATAAAAAACATTTGTGATTTCCAGTACATTATTCTTTCTGACTGTTCACATTACTCTGATTTACCAAAGCACTTTGATATTACAACAGGATCCTCTTCATATCTCTTTTACATTCACCGTTGACCTACTTTATGTCTTCTTTTTCCTTCACCCCTTTAGGTGTCACTTTGCTTCTCAAAAGGAATCTTTAGATGCCTTTGACCTCCTGTATGGTATCCTTTCTAGTTTATCTTTCGATTTCTTCATGTTCTCCTTTTTGATCGCACCAAAGGATTGCAGACACTGAGCAGCTCCTTAATGTGGGAATTTTGAAGTATACATTCTGTACAGCATAAGAAAGTTACAATTGCTCTGTAGCTCAAAATGTTTGGAAGAAAAAATGATGTTAAAAAAAGTCATGGTCTGAACCAAAGCTCGCTGACCTGCCATAAACTTTGGTGAGGTTTGGAGCAGGGACTGTGTATTTCAATATTGATCTTGAACACACCTCTTAAAAAAAAAAAAAAAAAAAGGAAAAGAAAAGTGGCAAACATTTCAGTAAACAGCAATGATGAGTGCACTTCTGATTAAGGCATAAACAGGTCCAGAAAATGTCACCAGCCCACACACACCCAGGTACAGAAATCCCTGTTGGGGAAAAAGGTCTTTGGTGTACAATCACAGTTGTAATGATGCAAGCTGTAAAGGGTAAATAATAAAAATAGCAGATTGTCAGATTTTGTAAATAACACAGGGCTGGTGTGCACAGCTGCAAAAAGCTCTCCAAGCGTGGGCACAACGTTCCTGCCAGTGTGGCCATGGAGCCTCTGGGCCCCGTGAGAGGGGCTGTAAGCGTGGAGCTCGCTGCCCTGCCCTGCGAGAAGCCCGTGCCTCTCCCTCTCACAGCACAGTCCCGCTGGGAAAGCTCTGTGGCTGGGGAAGGAGCAGGCTGCTCTGTCAGCAGAGGGAAGAAGAAGAGGAAATAATGAAGGCAATCCCCTGAGGGAAGCTGAGCAGAAAAGACCTTTCGACCTGACTAATGGCTGACATACGAGACTCCTGTGCCAGATCAATTGCTTCGACAAATGCGGAGGGTGACTGCTGGGAAGATCACAAAACCCCTGAGCCTGGGGAGCTGCACGGGTTCGGCATTGAGATGAAGGCACTCCCTTGCCTGGGTGGAAGCAGAAACCAGAAACTGAATTTCACGTGGACAAATTTCAGGCTTGATAGGTTTTGATTCAGACCTGGAGAGTCGTAGTTGTTAAAATGCAGCCTGAAAGCAACTTTCACATTGGATAACTAGATAATGCAACTCTGGATGCATTAAAAATATAGGGCACAGTCTTTTCTGTGTTTGTCATTGTGGCTGCAGGGCAGAGAGGATTTTATTCAAGGCAGAATGTAATATGACTTGCCTGTAAGAAGCAGTGTGAACATTAAATGTCCTTTTAAAGATGCATCTTGTTGTAAAAGGGTTTCTGTAAAACACCAGGAAACGAAACCATGAAGTTTGATTTTTGCTTCTGCCTAGGTCTGTGCGACCGATCTGAAAGGCAGTACCTTCCTGCCGAAGTTAGTTAAGTCTCTGACATGCAACCCAATCCTTAAGAAAGATGGGGAGGGAGTTGATGGTTGTGGAGGATATTTGACTCGTCTCTCTCGCGGCTGTTCTGCAGGGATGCGGTGCCTTGTGCAACCTTCCGGCTTTGCGGGGGAGAGGGCACCCTGTTACACAAAACAGAAGTGGTGGTGTGGGTTACTCGGCTCTTTTTAACCGATTCTCTTTTCCTTTTTTTTCCGTTTATTTTCCCCGAGAGATGGCAATGGCGGGAGCATGAAGGCACCCTGGGGGATGGGTGCATCTGCGCACCCAGCCCCCCGCTTTGCTTTGCTCTTGTGCAAACACAAAATTTATGTTCCCAGAGACCCAAAATCGCCGCCGGCGTCCCGGCGGGGCGGTCGGAGGAGAGGGGCGGCTCCTCCTCTGCAAACTTTCCCTGTCCCCTCCCTCGCCGCCTCTCTCCGTCCTCTTCTCTCCTCCCTGCCCTTCTCGGCTGCCCGTCGACGATGGCTGAGAGGCCGGGGAGCAGCGGGACAGCACCGCTGCCCGTCTGGTCCTTGCCCGGTCCCCGCGGCCGCTCCCAAAGCGACATCTCCTCCTTCTCCTCCCGGAGGACCTGCCTGCTGCGGTCCAACGTGGGCGGCTCAGGTAAGGGAGAGGGAGGGAAGATCCTTGTGTCCGACACCTCGGAGCCGAGCTGAATTTGGGAATCTGGGGGAAAGACATCCTCGCCGATACCCCGTCCTGCTCTCCCAGCAGAGAGAAGATGTAGGACTTCTCTCGGTGGCCAGTGGTGTGGATTTCTGGGGTACGTGGTGCTTGATCTTCTCCTTGATAAGATGTTTGGAGAGTTTCAGTTTTTTATACCCATGTTCACACACATGAATGAATGAATCCTGGCAGCATCGTGGCTGCACATCCATTTGCCAAAGCATCTCCGACTGCAAGGGCAGAAAAGTCTCAGGAAACCTTCAGGGTGTATTGCCAGGACATCAAAACCCCTCACCTTGCTGCTTCACACATTACACTTCAACTGCATGTCAGAATTTTACCTCGTGCCCTTTTATCTGCTTAGAGATTTTAATAGGTGAGAAAAGCCAATGTGTAAGTCAGAATCCCACCATCTTCCTTCAGGAGTCAATCCCTGCTAGTGCACACAGGATGACTGGGGGTGGAAACTGGCCCTTTGGGACAGAGTAGGCTTCCTGCAGGATTTGGAGAAGCTTTGCTGTATAAAATAAGAGGAAGTGAGGGTCCTAATTTACAGTGCAGAGACTCAAAACCCGCCAAAGTGGCTGGGCTGTGCTTTACTCAGTGTGTCTCCAGAGGTAGGGCACTAAGGAAAATGAAATTCCGGTCTCTGTAGGGCTGAGCACATTTTGAAAATATGTTCTTGCCGAGTTGCAAATCAGCCCTGCTCTGTTGACTAGAAGTCTGTAGGCACACACACCCTGGGGATGTTGGTATTTTGGATGCACTCACACACTGCTGCACAGAGGTACCTGTGAAACACCATCAGGGAAGCTCCGGAGTGCTCTGAGGGACCTCCTCTGCTGCAGCACAGGACAGTGCAGTGTGTTTTTGGGCCTGCAATGCCAGGGAAGTTCCGGAGTGCACTGAGGGACCTCTGCTGCAGCACAGGACAGTGCAGTGTGTTTTTGGGCCTGCAATGGACCACAATGTTCTCTTATGTTTGTTCCTCAGGGAATCTTAAGATGAAGCAGAACATTTGCTTGGGGAAGATCAGGTATACAGCTATGCCTGCCTGATGAGGAGAGAGGGAATGAAAATTTACTTAGTCACATAGGAGCAAGTAGATTCAGCTTATGGAGCCAGAGGCTGCTAGCAAAAACAACTCTGTGCCATTTTCTGTATAATTTTCTGTTTTACCTTTTTCTGTGCCTGCTTAAAATTTATGGTGAAGGATATTTGGGACAGGGAGGAGGGAAGGCTTCACAAAGGACTACTTTTAGGAATAAGGTGTATTTCATCACCGCCTGGAGAGTGCTGCATGAACAATGCCCTGTGACTGGATGTGAGCACCCCTGGATCCAGAGAGATCCCCACAGAGGGATCCCCACAGAGGCTGACAAGACTGAGACCATATCAATGTACACTGTGTTGGTTGGTGGCTTAACTGCAAAGACACCTGACAACGAGCTGGGTTCATTATGAGAGACTGGTAAATCTAGTGGAGGTGAAATGACAGTGTTTTCAAAGATGTGTTGTTATTTGTAGTTTCTTACACATGACATTTTAGCATCCTTGTTGCCTGACTTGATTTTTTATTTTAATTTTGAGTATGTGCTTCCTGCCAGTAAGGAACAAGTGTTACTTTCTTTGATTTTAATTTTTTTGTCATATTTTCTTTAATTGTGTATTTTCTCCCTTGCTGCTTCCTGTATATTTTTTCCAGTTGCTCATTGGACACAACAAAAACACTTACATATGGCCACACAACTGTTGATTCTGTCTTCAAAAAGGAAAGTATGCATTAAAGATGCAAAGCTGTTTAATTTTTAATATGGTGGTTAGAGAATTCGTTTTATACTGAGGTGCCATTAAAATAACCTGCTTTTTCATTCCCCTAGTAACCTGGAGAACAACTGTAATGGG